GGAGAGAGGAAGAGAGAGAGAGAGAGAGAGAGAGAGAGAAAGGGAGGGAGAGAGGGAAGGTGTGAGACAGAGAGAGAGAGAGGGAGGGAGACAGAGAGGGAAGGAAGGAAGGAGAGAGAGAGAGGAGAGAGAGAGAGAAGAAGACAGAAATATTAGAAAAGTGAAATGCTATTGCATTTGGATATGAGTAATAGAGCTAAACACCCTAATAAGCAGGGAAGTCAGTTGAGATCCTGCATGTATTAGACGTGAACTGTGGCCAGACTGGTTAAGTAGAACATACAGAAGGAAAAATTTCCAATTACAGACACGTTTGGTGGCTATAGAAAGATGAGTTGGAGCATCTGGATTTAAGGCCATAGAACTCCACGTCTCAAAAGTACTCTTTTCCACAGTAGGCTTTTCTTTGTATATTACACAAATCCCATTTATAAAACTTTACAGTGAAGTCCCTCTGAATTCATTGTCATTAGTTCGTTTCATACGTTGATTTCTTTATATACTACAGTCTCTCTATGACCTAAATTAAAACACTCTTGGAATGTATGGAAGATGAAATATAATCTGGTATTGTTAGCTTTGCACATTCAGTTTATATTTTGTTCTGAATTTTTTACTTACAAGTAATAATTTTGCATATTTATAGGGTGCAGTGTGATATTTTGATAGCTGTATATAATATGCAATATCAAATCAGTCTAACCTGTCCATCATGTAAAAGTTGTATCATAATTTTCTTTAGAGTCATTCAAAATATTTTCTTCTAGGTATCTAAAAGTGTGCCTTAAATACACAATAAATTATTTTTTGGTATATCACCTTTCTGTGCTGTAGAACACTAAAACTTATTTCTCCTATCTAAAATATTTTTGTACCCAAACATAAACCTCGTTCTAGTCTACCCTTCCATATTAAAGTTTGTGTAATAACGAAATCTTGCACGTGAGGATGATCTAGCTGCGATATCTGTCACCCCGTTGATCGCCAGGGTTGATTCGGCTGATCTGGCTGGTTAGGCGGGTCTCCCCTTCCTACCTCACCGCTCCGTGTCCCTCCCTCCCCTCCGGGAGCTGCGCTGTACACTCGTTGGTAGAAGACGACCAACCCCGACAGAGGAGGCCCATTTCCTCCGTCAAGGGTCTATAAGTAGCTGTGTTCTCCTGCTAGAACCTCCAAACAAGCTCTCACAACCAAATCCCGCTTAAAACATTTTCTAATCACTTGGTTTTGCTAAGTTTTAAAATCTCTTTCTAGTGGATTTATTGGAGCTTATTATATATTGTTTCTAGGGTTTTATTTCTATTATAAATATTTTCCCAATGTTATGATAGCCATATTATATACAATTTAAAAATCTATATAAATTTATTTTATTTTTTATTTTGTCTATAGAAAATTTGGAGCGACGCTTATAAAGCCTTCCCTGAGTCTAGGTTTATTTTTTATTTCTTATTATACTTTTGCATGATTTATTTTTACATATTCTATGTTAACATAGGTTTGTACTTGAAAGAAGGCCAAGGCTTTAAATCAGTCTTTACGTGGTTGTTTTCACAGAAGCAGCTCTACTACTCAATCGTTTATCTGGCTGATTTTTTTTTTAAAGGAGGCAAGACAAAAAAGGCTAAAGGTGTAGAGAAAGTGGGAAGGGAAGGGGAAAGGGAATAAGGGAAAAGAAAATATATGAGAATATGTAAAAAAAGGGAATAAAATGTTTGTAAATGGGGAGGGGAGAAGGGGGTGAAGGGAGCGCAGCATCAAGGGGAAAAAATGAGGACCAAGACCTGTCATGTAAAGGTACAAGATCCCAACAATGAATGCAACTGTACTGTATGCCTAAAATGTACCAATAAACAATTTAAAGATGAAAAAATGAGGACCAAGACCTGTCATGTAAAGGTACAAGATCCCAACAATGAATGCAACTGTACTGTATGCCTAAAATGTACCAATAAACTCAATTTAAAGAAAAAAAAGAGGCAAGGCAAGACTTTCTCAAGTGAAAATGACACAACAGCAGAAAATGAACAAAAATCTTCTCTCTTTTTGGAGTTTTCAAATAAATTAGAGGTCACAAATCCAAATTTAAAATAAATTCTGTGACTAAGCACAAAACCGAAGCAAGAAACTGCGCTGAGCAGGTGGGTCTCAAAACAGGCTGTATTCCAGCTGGAGAGACGGGTTAGGTTCCCTGAGGCCGTGCAGCTTCAGCTGAGGTAAGAAGATGAATCAGAAACTGGTAAAGATACAGGAAAAAATGCTCTATGAGAAAGGCAGTGCATACACCTTCCTGAAGACAAGAAAGGTTATGGAATCATGTAAGGAAAGGAGTAGTACAATTTCATTGAGATTTTAACATCATTTCAAATTTGCACATGAATGGATTTTGGCAGAGGAAAGAGGAGAGCATATTAGAGGATAACGTGGTATCAGAGGTCTTTGATGAAAGGGTGATAATAGCTCAGTTGAGTAACAGATGGAAGGTGATGGATAGATGCGAGACATAGGATCTGGATTTACTAAGATTTACAAGTCTCTGAGGAAAACCACATGAAACTGAAAAAGAACTTCATGCTTGATTCCTTCTTTCAACATGGTTAAAAACCATCTGAGTTCATGAAAACAAAATAAATACTATCAATCATCTTTAAAATTTCAGAGATTTTTATTAGCATTTCTACATATGTATAATTTAAGGTGTATTTATATGTACATACATGCATATGTGGAATAAATATTTCAATATTTAATCCTACAAATAGTCTCTAGTCTCATACTCTTAACCACAAAATTCTCAAAATAAATTTAATGAAGTGGAATAATTTTTCACCTCTTCATCATATCTATAAATTCACCATTTTAGTGTCATTTTAGGTATATGTACAATGTCTAATTTTCCACATAAAAATTTTCAAAAACTATGACTCAATGATATTCATAATATTTGCAGTGTTGTGCAACCATTACCATACTTCTAAACCCTTTTTATGACTTTCTTCATTCTCAACAGAAGCTCAGAACCCTTTAATTGCTTATCTGGCCCCTGGTAACCCCTAGTCTACTTTGGTACTTAAAAAGGAGACTATAAAATAATGCATACAACTAGACTCACTCATGTTTGCCTTTTGTGCCTGGCTTACTTCACTTAGGATTATTCAAAGTTCAGTGATGCCATGGCAAGCGTCAGAAATTTATTCTTTTAAGATGGAATCATAACCTGTTATATGTACATGTGACATCCTGCTCATTCATCAAGGTCAATAGACCCTTGTGTTGCTTAAACATTTTGGCTGCTGTGAATGATGCTTTGATGAATATTAGCATAGATGTCCTGATTTTCAATTTTCATTAAATATATACCTACTAATGGAGTTTTGAAGCTATATAGTAATTTTATGTTACTTTGCAGAAATTTTCCATTCTGTTTTCTAAGCTGCTGCAATATTTTTCCATTCCTATCAGTGATGTACTGAAGTTCCAGTTTCTCCACTACACATCAACACTTGGATGCTGTTCTGTTATTGTGAATAATTTATCTTATCTTATCTATGGTGGTGTCCTGTTATGAGAATTTATCATATGACTAATGATGTTAACACCTATCACTGATTATTAGCATTTTTTATGTACACCTTTTTTTGATAAATGTGAACTGAACTATTTTTAAACCACTCTGTGCAGATATTCTTTTTTTCCTCATTGAGTTTATTGGTACATTTTAGGTATACAGTACAGTTACACTCATCACTGGGATCTTGTACCTTTATAAAATTATTTAAACCAAACTTTTCCTTGAATGGAAAATGTGACATGGCAACACAGAGAAGAACATGTACAAATGTCAGAATGAGAAAAATAAGGGATCCATAGTTTGTGGGTATGGAGTTGCAGATGTGCAGCATCCTAGGCTGCATAACTAGGAGCTCAGTGTGATCCAGCAGAAATGTACAGAATGGGACTCACACAGCAGCACCTGACACCGTCAGGATGCATCATGAACAGGTTTAGGATTTTAAATCACTACGTGATTAACGGGTAAAAGTCTAAGGTGCTAATCTACAAAGAAAGAAGCCTTACGGGGAATAATGCATTTGCTTTTCCACATCCAAGGGGAATATGGAAATGGTATTGTTTAGATCAGATTAGTTTGATTCTGAAGATGAGAACTGGAAAGAAGAAATCGAAATTAGATATGTCAAGAAGTAGAGTTCTGTCTTTGAGTATAATTTGTATGTATTATTTATACACATTTTATATAGATAAATTAGTTATATATACAGATCACAGACACAGTTTATAGAATAAGTAGTGCATTTTCAGTGGAAAGGAAAACTGATGTCTTAGAAGCAATTACCAAGATGAAATTGTTAGGTGGTAACTCAAGGATTTAGTGCATGATGATTCCAAAAATTACTATTGTCTTTGCAAATAACATATGTAAACAGTTTGGAAAAGTGGGAAGTAAGATACTTTTCTTCAAAGGTCAATATTCAGGAAGAGAAAGTGCCTAATATCCCCACCTTATTGCCAACACACCACTGAAAAAAATTCAGGTCATGCCTCATCTGATGTTAAAGACACATCTTGTCTACCCAGAAAGACGTGGAGATCATGGGTACCAAGCTAATTGGCCCAGAACTTCCCAGGTGAGGGAGGAGATGGGGATTATTTTGGTGCTTTCAAATAGCCTGTGTGGAAACTATCTAGATGACCCCTTGGGAGTTATTTCTTTAATAAATATATTTCTCTTTAGGATTTTGCCTAGGCAGTGAAAATATAGCCACAAACCATTCCCAAGTCACACTCAGAACAAAGAGAAAATTGGATCAGGTAAGGAAAACCAGGGATTTGATGCAGCAAGGATATTTAAAAGTAACACTGTGCCTGGCTTTCAGTCAAGTCTTGAGTAAAGACTGAGAATGCAAGACATATATTTTAATTGAATAAAGAATTCAAGAAAGGGGATACCATAGGATAAAGGAAAACATAGACAAAAGACCAACTTTTATATTTACTGAATGCTGGTTATGAATATGAACTGAAGGTTTGTGTCAGAGAAAACTGAGTTTACATTGCTACATGCAATGCATTATTTGTTCAACCACAGACAATCCTTGTAGTACAGTATATCTAAGTCTCAGTTTTGTAATCTGAAGAATGTGGAAATATATTGTCCTTGCTTTCTCACATTCTTTCATTTTGCATTTCATAACTATTAAGCAGCTGTGTATAGCATTCTATCGAAAATGTCAAGTTCACCAAAGATAGTTGCTACAGAAAATGGATATTTTCCACTTTTGTCTTATTGGAGAATTGTGATATTTTTTGCTATTAAATCTACATTACTACTAACTTCCAAAACACTTTCTTATGCGCAAGCTTTTATAAATACGGACCCCTTTTGCTATATGCATATGTTTTTGCCTACTTGTGTATTCATCCTTTGAGATACTCTTTTTTCTATCATAAGGGAAATTTTCCTAAGTTCCCAACTCTTCTCTCCAGATCTTCTCTCCCATCTCATTACCTATGGTAAGATTTGAGCAGTCCGTGAACAACTGAGATGGCTCAGATTGCAGCCTGTGATTTCTCCTTATAAATATATGGATGAGGATCACACCAAGTTAGGGACTAGGGAAAGGAAAGGAGTGGAGTCATAAAAATCCGATGGGAGAGTCTACTGAAGTTTATCTGGAACTCAATGTAAGATTTTTTTCTCTCATTTTCTTAGTCTGATAATATGCTTGATTTGCTTCCTGAGTTCAATTTCGTACATTTTTATAACTGGTTTCTATAAGAGTTTCACAACCTCTAGCCAAGAAAGCAAGTTAAAGAAACTCTAAATGTTATATTTGTGTTATTCTAAAAAAACTGTTAGTGATTCAGACCTAGCTGCTTTCATAAAATCAACCAGAGAAGATCCCCATAGTTGGGTAGGGGAATAGTGATTTCCAATCATGTCTGCATCCTTTATGAAACCTTGAGACTTGCTTCAGAGTGATACAAAATTCCATTGCAATTTTGACTGCTCTTAATGTGTACCACATATCACATAACTGAGCAGCTTTTCTTCCTTCACATTTAAGTACTTAGATGTTTCTGGCTTGTCACTAGTAAATGACATGAGCTATTCCTAGGGACTGAAAATATTAAGCAGGGTAATCTTCTAAGTGTGACAGTTAAAAAATATTAAGAAATTGTTTTAGTACATAAGCCCTGATCTGTCCAAAACTCTTAAACCAGGCTTTGAAAACATCACTATAGTTTAAGTACTCTCATATCTTCTCTGCTTCCTTACTCTGGATTACATGTAGGATATCAGCAGACACAGACAAGGTGTTTGGCCATATCATGTAACAAACTGCAGCATGTATCCATTCTCTCTCTTCGCAGTCTATCATAATAAGGTGATGTTGAAAGTTTAAGGGAAGTGTAGCCAGAAATTGTGGTTTATGATTACACATAAATTACCACTTTGTAGCAGTAATAAATGTTGCTGAGGGGACAAAGTTGAAATGTATATGTTATAATTGAGTGGATTGATTTATCAGGCAATTTTCCAGTACCCACATCAAAAGCATCTCCTATTTCTGCTACTGGACTGACTTTTTCACAGTGACAGTGTCCCCTGAAATGGTGGTGGTCTTTACTGTAGTTCATTCAGTTTTCTTCTATCCATATTTCCCATTTTCTATAGGTTATAATTGCAGATGTTACCAGATGACAAAATTTTCTAACATGTATTCATTATTATTTTCACAATTTTATGAAACAAAAGTGGTAGAAAGATTGCTACAGAACAATATTTCCTGAAACCCCTTTTCGATGTAGCAGTAGAATTATTTATAATAAAAATATCTTTAAAATATGCTATACATACATAGATTCAATTGAATTTGGGGGAGATTAAAGTTTCCCTGGAGAAACTAATGCTTCCCTTGTTGTTATCTTCAATTATTGTAGCAACAAACCTGCTCCCTAATTTCTTGGCTCCATTTAAACAGCTTACTTGATTTCTTCAACTTATGCTTAGAAATCAGTCACATTTCAAACACCCCTATGAAGTGTCTTTTTAAATTTTCTGGTTATAGGCTTTATAGACTACCAATAATTAGAGGGTCTGTTTGGTTATCTCTATCAGCAATAAAGTCATTAATTCTTCCACTTTGGAAGTCCTTAGTATCCCCCTCTAACTCCTGAGTAGACTTTATGCACTTAATTATTAATTTATGATGTTACAATTTTCCTTCAGATAATTATGCTTTTTTTTTTCCTTTTTCTGTGGCTCTGTATCAGTATTAGGCTTCTCTGGAAACATTCAATGTAGGACTTTGTCCTTAAAATTTCCTTTTAGGGTCTCTCAAAGTGTATATATCTCTAAGGCTGCAAGTCTCAGGAACATTTGCAGCACTGAAAAGTCGCTGAGTCTCAAATCCACTGAGTAATCACAGCTCTCTGGAATGAGTTTCCTGGCTCTGCCCACTGGTTCCGATGTCTGAAATACTCACATGAGTTCTTACCTTTGTCACAATATATGTGATTTTGCAATGTCGCTAACAATATTTCTGAACACTGTATTATGGTTGCCTCATTTGTATTGATTAAGAGTTTCTAGGGGAAAAAATGAGAATCAAGACTTGCCATGTAAAGGTACATGATCCCAACAATGAATGTAACTGTACTGTATCCCTAAATGTACCAATAAACTCAATAAAAAAAAAAAGAGTTTCTGTTAGTGGTTAGTCTTTGAGATGTCTCATTGGTTCTAAGAGAAAAAAAAAAGCCTTAAACTATCCAAAATGGATAGAAATACAGGTAAGGCCGTAACACGAGGAGAAGAGAAAATGAGGCGAGAATGAAAGAGATCCAGAGGTGAGCAATTTGTGATTAGACAACAAGGCTTAGAACACATCATAGAATGTGTGATCGGAAAAAGTTAGTTGCGTCCTTCACAGTAAGTTGTGATTGTTATGATTATTATATGGTCATTTGTTATTTTAGGCAAAGGCTTGGTGAATACAAGCTTATAATTCATTAAGCATGAAATAATAATAAACAGACCTTTACATTTTAAGGTGAAAAATGTTTGGATGGTGTGAAACAAGAAGATGATGAGAAAATGAATTCTGCTTCTTTAGGACATCATAACCACTGAGCCATCTCCGCTTCATCTGCAAAACCTGCTATGTGGTCCAACAACAGCGCTGCTCCCTTCTTGCTGACAGGCTTTCTGGGCTCAGAGGGAATTCACCACTGGATTTCTATCCCTTTCTTGGCCATCTACCTCTCCATCCTTTCAGGCAATGGTACACTTCTCTTACTCATTTGGAATGACCACAGCCTTCATGAGCCAATGTACTACTTCCTGGCTGTGCTGGCAGGTACAGATCTCAGCATGACCCTGACTACAATGCCCACAGTCCTGCGAGTCCTGTTGCTCGACCGAAGGGAGATTGCCCAGGGTGCCTGTTTCATCCAGTCCTATTTCATTCACTCATTAGCCATCGTGGAATCAGGTGTCTTGCTTGCCATGGCCTATGACCGTTTCGTTGCCATC